ATATGCAGAGTACATCATGAGAAATGCTGGGCTGGATGAAGTACAAGCTGGAATCAAGATTTCTGGGAGAAATATCAATAACCTCAGATATGCAGATGACACCACCCTTATGGCAGAAAGTGAAGAAGAACTAAAGAGCCTCTTGATGAAAGTGAAAGAGGAGAGTGAAAAAGTTGACTTAAAACTCAACATTCAGAAAACTAAGATCCTGGCATCCGGTCCCATCACTTCATGGCGAATGGATGGGGAAACAGTAGAAACAGTGGCTGACGTTATTTTGTGGGGCTCCAAAATCACTGCAGATGGTGATTGCAGCCATGAAATTAAAAGATGCTTACTTCTTGGAAGGAAAGTTATCACCAACCTAGACAGCATATTAAAAAGCAGAGACACTATTTTGTCAACAAAGGTCCATCTAGTCAAGGCTATGGTTTATCCAGTGGTCATACATGGATGTGAGAGTTGGAAAGAAAGCTGAATGCCTAAGAATTGATGCTTTTGAACTGTGGTGTTGGAGAAGACTCTTATGAGTTCCCTTGGACTGCAAGGAGATCCAACCAGTCCATCCTAAAGGAGATCAGTCCTAGGTGTTCTTTGGAAGGGTTAATGTTTAAGTTGAAACTCCAATACTTTGGCCACCTCATGCAAAGAGCTGACTCATTGGAAAAGACCCTGATGATGGGAAAGATTGAGGGCAGGAGGAGAAGGGGACGACAGAGGATGAGATGGCTGGATGGCATCACCGACTCAATGGATAAGGGTTTGGGTGGACTCTGGGAGTTGGTGATGGACAGGGAGGTCTGGCGTGCTGTGGTTCATGGGGTCACAAAGAGTTGGACACAACTGAGCAACTGTACTGAACTGAGTGGCAAACACCAAGTGGGAATTGATGTGAAAGATATTAACAGAGGAAATGCCTGTTAAGACTAAGTGGAAGGAGACGTTGTAAGTAAGGTGGGTAGGAAGGGTCATGGGTGACTGCTGCTAAGCTTTCATTTGTGACCAGCCTAGTGTGGACATTATTGGAGGTGTCCCAAAACCTCCAGGAAAGGGACAGCATTAACGTTTCTGCGGTGCTTAATCTTTTGCTTCCCAGACTCCTGGAAGCATAGTCTTGTCATGAGAGCATTTGTGGATCCAGAGAGGAGACAACCACGTTCCCTCTAACATGTTCTCTTGAAAGAGCTGAGCAGATTATTTATTTCTATGTCCCTACACAGGAATTGACAGAAACGGGACATAAAGGAGTTTTTGGGTTGATGGCAATACTTTTGTCTTTATCGTTCTGGTGATTATAAACCATCAAAAAATTTGCAAACTATATTAAATATATACTTCAAAGTAGATACACTTTAGATTGTAAGCTGTATTTAAACATTTGTTTAAAAAAACATTATTTTTAATTGTTGCTATGAATACTTATTTACCACATAATATCAATTTTATCATTTTTTTTAAATATCGTTAATTCTGAATCATCTTGTATTAATTGTTTTCTTTTTTGAAATTTATATTGTAGCACTTTTCTTAGTAAAGGCCTTTGAGGGGTAACATTATAATTTTAGCCTAAAAAAAGACTTTTAATTCTTCTTATCCTTGAATGGTTGATAAAAAAAGAATCAGCTTCTAGATTGACAGTTATTTTGAATATATTATTTTGAATGCATTATTCTACTGTCTCTGGAATCTATTGTTCCAAATGAGAAATCTGCCAGTCTTTCAGTCTTTTTAAAAAAGTCCTTTTTTTTTTTTCCTTTGATATTCTATAATTTCAGTCTGATGAGTCTCAGGTGAAAGTATTTTTGTATTTCTTACTTAAAACTTGATGCGATCTTTTAAATTAAGGACTCATGTCTTTCTTCTAGTTGAGATGATGCTCAGACTTGATTTCTATGAGGATTTCTCCCCTCCCATTCTATTTGTTATATCTCTGAGACTGCTTATAGTCAGTGTTCTTAATTGTAAGTAAAACAAACTGCCTGAGTTAAGAAAAAAAAAAAAAAACTGACTTAAGGAGGCAGAAAAATCAAAATCACTAGATGAGTATAAGTACAAGAGAGTGAAGCAATGGCAGAAAAGAGCATGCCACAAAAGGAGGCCAGAGAGAACCACGCCACCATTGCTGAACATGACAGTTTGTTATCTGCAGGACCAATACCACTAACACTGGATACCAGAAATGGACTTTACAACCACTTCCACTGAATTCTAGAGACTTGTGAATATTGCTGTGCCCATCCGAAAAGATGCTTCACTCTCCCTTCTTAATGGAAACATAGTATCCCATATTGCCCAATGCACAAGAAAGGATGAGCAGTATCCTTTTTCATTCCATAGTAGGATATAGACTCTACCTTCCATGAATTCTGATAATGTGCAACATTTCTTAATAAAAAGCAGTTTCAGACTTTCAGGTCCCTGACTGATGAAAGACTCAATACAATTCAATAATTTAGACATGTTTCTTTTGAAATCTTTCTCTATATAATATACCATTACCAGCACAAATGGAAATACACTCTTTTTATCTTCAACTCTAAAGTTTATCAGATTATTTTCTCTACAATTTTCCATCCTCCTTCATGTCATTTTATGATCACATATCAATATAGTGTCATTGATGAACCAAAATGTATATTTGATCATGACCTAAATTGTGTAAAAGTTAGTGGGGAAAACTTGAATATAAATGTAAAATTTGTTAAAATATAGTTATACTGGTAAGACACCACTGATTAAAAAAAATATGAGTAGCTATCATTGTTCTGCTTATACTTCATGTTTTCCTCAAGGCAACAGAGAATATTTGTAAGTTCAATTCACTTCATTTCCTTTCTTAATAATTTTAGCTCGTGGTTTATGTTGCTATCTCCAGTTCTACTCCAAAACTAATTTTTAGCAATGTCATGATACACCTAGATGAAAAGTCCAATGCCTTGGTTTCTCAGTTGTTTGAAATACTCTTGACTAATGATCTTGCCCTCTGATTCTTCTATGTCTACCATGATCACACTCTAGACCTTGTCACTGCCAATATCCAGAAGGCTTCCATAATCACAGTTACAAGCATTCTACATCCCAAACACCACCTATTATTTCTTACTTCCTCATGCAACAAATCTATCTCTACTACTTGCCTGTACAGGGAGTTATTGACATAGTTCCACAAAGCACTTGGTCTGGTAACTTGAATCTCAGAGTAAAGACGAGTAGTTAATTCTCTGCCAACCCGTTGTTGTACTTGCATGAATCCCCCTTATTGTTTTGCTATCTGCTTGGCCAATGCTTACTCTAAGGCCACTACACTAATTGCAAAAGTTAGTAGGATATAATTTCATGATGTTTAAAATAATTAATATCTGGGAAGTTATTTGTTATACTGAATAACCTAGACTATTATGACTGAAAAATAAATGTCCTCCTAGAAGTGTAATGTGATATAAAACTATCTTTACATGACTGTGGCTTAGAGACCTGGCAAAAGAAAATGAAGATACTAGAGGCTTGCAGGTGTTAGTCAGTAGTTAAATATTTGACTTAATGAAATTACAGATTTAGGTGAAGAGTTTTTTTAAGTGAAGTTTTATTGGAGCATAGTTGATTTACAATACTGTGTTAATTTCTGCTATATAGCAAAGTGAATCAGTTATACATATATATATATATATATATATATCAACTCTTTTTTAGATTCTATTCGCATTATATAGTATTAAGTAGAGTTTCTTGTGCTATACAGTAGGGCTTCCTGGGTAGCTCAAACAGGAAATAATCTGCCTACAGTGCAGAAGACCTGGGTTTGATCCCTGGGTTGGGAAGCTCCCCTGGACAAGGGCATGGCGGCTCAATCCAGTATTATTTTCTTACCTGGAGAATTCCATGGACAGAGGAGCCTGGTGGGCTCCAGTCCATGGGGTTGCAATGAGTCAGACATGACTGAGTGACTAACACAACACTTTGCTAGTTACCTATTATATCTATGGTAGTCTGTATATGTCAATTCCAATCTCCCAATTTATCCCTTCCTCATTCCCCTCTTGGTAACCATAAGCTTGTTTTCTATATCTGTGACTCTGTTTTTGTTTTGTAAATAAGGTTCATTTTTACCTTTTTTTTTTTAGATTCCACATATAAGGGATATCATATGATATTTGTCTTTGTCTAATTTATTTTATTCAATATGACAAACTCTCAGTCTATCCATGTTGCTGCAAATGACATTACTGTGTTCTTTTTTATGACTAATATTCCATTGTAGATATGTACAACATCTTTATCCTCAACGTGGCCCCACGCCAGCCCACCTCCCTCTGGGCCTCCTGCCTGTGCCTTCCTGCCCCCTCCAATGAGGTCCCTGAGGGGACAACCCCCCAGGAGAGGGACCCCGGGAGCCAGGGGTCCTGGGAGCCTGCCCTGTCCCCGCTCAGCCTCTGTGGCAGGGTTCCCAGGCCAAGGCGCCTGGTCAGGATCTCAGGCAACTGAGGTGAGGCTGTGCCTCTCCAGGGAGCCCCGGCTCGAGGTCTTGGAATGAACATGAGCCCCTCTGGACACCCCCAGCCAATGCGCCCCTCCCCTCAGTGCTCTCTGAGCACAGCCAGTGGGCGATGGAACATGGGAAGGGGGCGCCCTGGGGCCACGCCCCCGCACTCAGGCAGGGTGTGACCCCTGTGCTGTCTTCTGGCCGGGCTGGGCCAGGGGTCTTCGAGATGCATCCCACACAAGGCAGGGCCATGCAAGCCCCATCCTGAGCTCCCACTCCCACTGGGCCCCCCATCCTCCTGGTGCTAATTTGGGGACCCTAGGGGACTGCCCCTGGCCCCTTCTCCAGCCTGCTTGGACCAGGGTCCTGGGTCTCCCCTACCATACCACAGAGATTGGGCCCACCGCCAGCTCTGCTGGGCTTGGCGCATTTCGGGCAGTGGAGGAGGGCACCCCGCTCACCTGGGACAGGGAGCTTCCCCTGGATTGCAGCTGGAGGCCTCCATTTGCTGCCCAGCCTGATGTGCACCTGCCTCCCCCTCACTGGAAGGGGTGAGAGGCGGGGGGCTCCCCTCCTGGGGGTAGCTGACACCAAGATGTACAGGCACATCTCCTTGGTTGCAGCCACACTCGTCCCCAGAGGCACATTTGTGCACATGCTCACAGGCCCTCTCATGTGTGGGCTGCGGATGACCAGGCCCCATCTTGGCCCCTCCCCTAGGGGCCTGCAGCCTGGTGCCCAGGGCCCAGGCCCCTCCCCACCTCAGCAGGGTGGGTGCAGGGCCCACTCTGGATGGCAGCCTGGGTCCCCGTCTCAGCTCTGCCCCTGGGTGGCTGGGATGAGAGGTCCTCTCTGAGGTGACCTGAGCAGTGGCCGTGGGACCCCCCCTTCCTCCTCAAGTTCACCTGAGTCCTCGAGCCGTGAGCCTCCGCTAAAGTGCCCTTGCTGCCCCCCTATGCTTTCGATGTGTGACAAGGCCCCATGTTCTTGACTTTCCCAGAGAAGCAAATAAACAGTGTGAACAGCCCTGGGGCTGGAATTCTTGAGTTTCACCTGGGCGGGGAGGGTGCGGCCAGGCCAGGGGTTGGGGCCCTGCCCAGGCAAGGTGGTCCAGCCTTAAAAGGAGCCTGGTAGAGCCCAGGGGAACTGGTGTCTCCCATCTGTGGCTCTGCACCCCTCAGACTCACACCAGTGCGGTGGGTAGGGGTGTTGGTGGAGTCCCCACAAAAAAAAAAAAAAAAACCTCTGCTGATGGTTGCTTATATGTCCTGACTATTGTAACTAGTGCTGCAATAAATTTTGGGGTGCTTATATCTTTTCAAATTATGGTTTTCTTCAGATATATGCCCAGTTATGAGATTGCTGGCTAACATGGTAGTTCTATACTTAGTTTTTTAAGGAAACTTCATAGGGTCCTCCCAGGTGGCATTTATGGTAAAGAACATGCCTGCCAATGCATAAGATGTAAAAGATGCTGGTTTGATCCCTGGGTCAGGAAGATCCCCTGGAGAAGGGCATAGTGACCCACTCCAGTATCCTTGCCTGGAGAATGCCATGGACAGAGGAGCCTGGCTGGCTACAGCCCATGGGGTTGCACAGAGTCACACGTGACTGAGGTGACTTACTGTACATGCACCTTCATACTGTTCTCCGTGGGGCCGCACCAGCCTTACATCCTACCGACAGTGCAGGAGGGTTCCCTTTTCTCCACACCTTCTATTGTTTGTAAAATTTTTGATGTTGGCCATTTTGACATATGTGAGGTGATACCTCATTACAGTTCTTGATTTGCATTTCTCTAATAATTAGCAAGGTTGAGCATTTATTCATGTGACTCTTACCCATCTGTATTTCTTCTTTGGAGACATGTCTATTTAGGTCTTCTGCCTATTTTTTGATTGGATTATTTGTTTTTTTGGATATTGAACCACATGAGTATTTTTTGCAAATTTTGGAGAGGAATCCCTTGTCATTTGCATTGTTTGCAAATATTTTCTCCCTTCTGTGGGATCCCTTTTCATTTTGTTTATGGTTTCCTTTGCTGTGCATAAACTTTTAGGTTTACTTCAGTCCTATTTGCTTATTTGTATTACTCTAGGAGACAGATCAAAAAAGATCTTACTGCAATTTATGTCAGAGAGTGATCTACCATGTTTTCCTCTAAGAGTTTCATAGTGTCCAGTCTTACACTTAGGTATTTAATTCATTTTGAGTTTACAAATTGAGCAGGATAGAAAGTACAGAGATAAAACAACACACTGATGGTTACATAATCTATAATAAGGGAGGCAAGAATATACAATGGGGGATAAAACAGATTCTTCAAGAAGTAGTGCTGGGAAAATTGGTTATATAAAAGAATGAAATAAGAACATTCTCTAACATTATACACAAAAATAATCTCAAAAAGATTAAAGACCTAAATATAGCTGAAGATTTAAAAAAATAATAGAACATTTATAAAAAATAGTGTGTATTGGTTACTTTTGGCACTGACAAGGGAAAGATGACTTTAAAAAATGATTAGCTCATTCACAATAAGTGTAAAGTCTACAGGAACACTAAGGAGTGGGCATTTTTTCCTCCCCAACCCTTCCATGCCCCACACAACCAGAAAAAGATAAAACTGCAAAAACTTTTTGTAAACATCAGATGACAATATATACTTCACATTTATTACTATGAAATATGATAACCTGCATATTTCAAAGTATATATGAAGATCAGATTTAACATATGTATACAGTCCAAGAAACCACTGCCACAAACAGGAATAGGACTAATGCCAGCACCTCCTAAAGTTTTCTTGTGCTTTTTGTAATCCACCCCTCCTTTACAGCCTTACCAGGCAACTGCTGACCTGCTTTCTGTCACTTTTAAAAACCAATGAATGGATTAAAGTATCTCAGAGCAAAGATCAAGTTAAGAATGTAGAGCCTACTTGAATTTATATCCTTTCAAATGTACAAAGTGCCTCAGGGAAAAAAAGAAAAGGTATGTGACTTTCTCACTAAAGCTTAAGAGTTTCAAGATAACTGGAAAGAAATAGAGAAAAAGACACATGAGTTAGCAATCCAAAAAATAGAGAAATGTAAAATTTTAATATTGTGTATTATTTCTGGCATGAAGAATATATTGAAATTAAAGAAGAACGCTGCCTCTGGATTGTTGAAAGCAGTGTGCTTTCTAAAGAAGCAGTGGTCTGGACAGTTTGAGGCCAAACGTTACCCCTGTCCCCCAGCCCTGAATTTCCAGAAAGCGAACTGAGTAATCAGCCGTCACAGAGGGAGTGTGGTCTCTAATTTCCAGAAGCAGAATCAAAGATTAACAAGAGATCATTCCTACCCCCAGGGTAATGAACACTCCCAAAATATGTACTGTTAAATTTTTTTAAATGACTGTGGAAGGCCTCATTTTTTTATTGGTAAGTAAATATTTGACAACCAGCTCCCTGGGGAAATATAACCCTGATTTTTAGAATTTGCTGATTTCCCTGGTAGAAGTATACCCACCACAGTCAATTTCAAACTACCAATGTAATATTAACTGACAAATTTCTTGAAAATTTAATAGTTGGAAGTCAATATATTCTGACACTAGCATGTCACTGTGTATGTCTTACCCTTTTCCTTATGATGGAAATTGCACAGTGTAGTCATATTGTCCTTATTTCACTATTGTGTTTGGGATGTCTGGGGGCATAGCTTGTCCTCTCAATTCATGGCCATAGCATCTAACAGAGGGGCACCTAGACTGGATAGCAAGACTACCACACAGCATACACAGGACATGGATTTTGAGGCTGATGCCATATCTAGCTATAAGGAAGAGGAGAGGAGTGAGTGAAATATTGGAAAAACAGAAGACCACACAGTGGTAGTCAGCAGTACTCAGTTCAGTTCAGTTCAGTCGCTCAGTCGTGTCTGACTCTCTGTGACCCCATGAATTGCAGCACGCCAGGCCTCCCTGATCATCACCAACTCCCGGAGTTTACTCAGACTCAAGTCCATCGAGTTGGTGATGCCATCCAGCCATCTCATCCTGTGTCATCCCCTTCTCCTCCTGCCCCCAGTACTACTTGCTGATTATTTCTGTCATCCAGTGTTTCAGGATTATAGTAGGAATACAGGTCCCTGCCACATGCTCATTTTATCTCTCTGACTTGACTTCTCCTTTGACTACCCCCCCCTTATCTCCTTACTCTCACCCCATTATGTTGGTCTCCATGTCATTCTTATTCATGCACCAACTACATGCAAAGGTCCGTCTGCTCAAAACAATGTTTTTCCAATTATCCACCTGATTCAGTACCAATATCTTTCAAATCTTTATTCAAATATGATCTCAGAGTTGACTACCCTAATTACCCTATCTCAGCAACAGACACAATAAAATTCTCTAACTCAGTTTTACTCTTGTCCTCCATCATATTTATTGGCTTGCAATACATAACTGAGTTTCTATGATACTCATTGCTTATTTTTGCCTTGCACCCCAGCGAGAGCAAGTCTTTCTACAAAGGAAAGACTTTTGATTATTTTTATTGTATTTTCTCTGTTGCTGTGAAAGTCACTCAGCCAGTGTCTGACTCTTTGTGACCCCATGGACTGTAGCCCACCAGTCTTCTGTCCATGGAATTCTCCAGGCAAGAATATTGGAGTGGGTTGTCCTTCCCTTCTCCAGGTGATTTTCCTGACCCTGGAATCCAACCTGGGTCTCCTACATCACAGGCAGATTCTTTATCATTGGAGCCACCTCAAACCAGAGCTATCTTTTATACATAACTGGAGGTTAAATGAATATTTAGTGAAGTTTCTCAGTCATGTCTGACTCTTTGTGCCCCCATGGACTGGGCAGGGGACACAGGCTACCTACCAGGCTCCTCCATCCATGGGATTTTCCAGGCAAGAGTACTGGAGTGGGTTGCCATTTCCTTCTCCAGGGGATCTTCCCAACCCAGGGATCAAACCCAGGTCTCTGGCATTGTAGGCAGACTCCTTTACCATCTGAGCTTCCAGGAAAGTCCCTACTTTATGGAATGAATTCAATACTTTATTTAAATGAATATTTACTGAATAAATAAATCCCATGTGTGATTTGAAAAATGTGTCAAACTTGTTCATGCATGCATGCTAAATTGCTTCAGTTGTGTCTGACTTTTTGCAATCCTGTGGACCGTAGCCCGATGGACTCCTCTGTCCATGGGAATCTCCAGGAAAGAATACTGGAGTGGGTTACCATGCCAATTTCATCTGTCAACAAATCCTGAGTTATGATCCACTGGAGAGACTTGAAGATGAGGTATTGTGCCTTCAATAGTGGATGCGATCCCTCTTGGTGAGGTGAAGTCTCTTTTGATAAGTTTCTGAATAGTCTCCACTGTACTATTAGACTAACTTCATTTTATTTGTCTCAAGACCTCAGCAAGCCCGAGGCTGTAGGGGAAGTTGGATGACTGACATCCTTATACAAGTCATGATATTCTCAGGAATATTATGAATCTGCTCCACATGGCAATACTTTTATTTCAAAATTTTTCCCCTTTTGTTTTATCATGCAAACTGCTAAATTGCTGCAGGTCTCTTTGCAGACGTGAAATAGGTTGGAAATGCATTATACATACCAGTCATATCATTTCAGGTTACTTTTTCAATATTTCTTTCCCCTTTCATTTGAAAGACCCTGAGGCTCTGAAATGAGTCCGATCTAGAATTTACGTAAAATCATTCCAAAAGCTTTGGTAACTCAAGCCTGACCATTTTAATCATCAAAATGTAGCATTTTCTTTTGGTTGTAGAAATTAAAATAGGAACTTAAACAAGATATCCATATTTTGGTCCTAGGGGCACCCTGGTT